GAATTCCTAACAGGAAAAACATAAAATTCAAGGATGTGGGCTGGGGATTTAGTTCAGTGGTTCTGTCACCTGCCTTGTAACCACAGGACCCGAATTCGATCCCCAGTACCGAAGGAAAAAAATCAAGGATGTAAGGAAGAGAGAAATGAAAGAAAAATTAATCAGTAGTGAGTTTCTGTGTTACATAATGCATCGGACAGTTATATAGATAAAAACTTACTTTAGGACTCAGGTTTCAGCTTGGACACATAAACACTAGAAAGTCATCTTCATTGTAGAAGCTAGATATATAGAAAGGTAACTACTTTTCTTGAATCTACCACAGAACTGAGGTGACAGGACAAACCACTATCCTGATATCTGGAGAGATAGGAAACTGCAGGGAGACACAGGTCTGAGCATATAAACCTTGTAGGAAGATTAAACTAGAAATTCTGACAAATTACTAGAGGCCAGACTGTGAAGTTCCTGGGTTCCACATGGGGAAATTTTCTCCCTACCCTTACAAACTTTTCCTACAGCAACCCTGCCAGGCTCTCATAGTGAGGACCAGGGAAAACCTCAGCAAAGCTCCCTTGGTGTTGCTGGCTGGCTGAGGAAAATAGCACTATGAAACTCAGCCTAGACCCTCTTCCTTTTACAGCCAGTAGAGAACAAAAGGTTTAATCTTCAGGAAGAGGACTTAAAACCCATGCACTGAGAACACTGTTGGATACCCATGCAGCTGGGGAAAAGAAATGGCTGAGGGTGTTAACCCCTAGAGGAGAAACAGGAAATCCTGTCAGGAACATACTCAATATCTGCCTAATCCCAGGCTTAGTCAGATCATCCCAGAGCTCCCTCCCTGCACTACCACCTAGCAAACCAGCTATCTAGTTAGTAACAATGGAATACAACTGTGAGAGCTATAAAAGACAACTCTTGGGATGCATCACAAAGGAAAAACCCAAAGCCAAGCAAGAGTCAAAACGAAGTCAATCACCAGAGGAACAGGAAATCTCTTTTGCCTGTAGCAAAACCAAACATCAAGCACAAGTCAGCTCCTGGCTAGATTTAACACAAATCTCCACATTAAATGGCTAGTGAAAAAGAACGTGCTTCACCAAACATATTAAACATTTTCCTCAGCATCTCCTGCCTATGTTCAGCTTTCAGCAGGCTTATAAGCCATAACAAAATGCAAGAAAATACTCCAAGTGATGAAGTAATTATCAAGATCCAAACTCAGTTAAACACAGACACCAGGACTATCAAAAATGAAATAAGAATTATGACATACTTTAATGGAAAAAGTAAGTAATATGAAAGAGCAGACAGACAACTTCAGCAAAGAAATGGAACCTATAAGAAAGAATCAAATGGAAATACTAGAAATAAAGAAACAGTACCAAAAAAAAGTATTCTTAACACAGGCAAGAAATCAGTGAGCTTGAAGATCATATTTTTTGAACTAGTCAAGAAAAATTAAAGCAAAAAGAGAAGAAAAAATAAAGTACAGCATTTAAGAACTATGAGGCAACAGCAAACAGTATTAACAAACTTCTAATTGGAATCTTAGGAAAAAAAAGAATGGGGCAGAATTATTTGAACAAATGGCTGAAAACTTTGCAAAATTAGTGACAGACAACAAGCAATAGATGTAAGAATTTCAGAAACTATCAAGGATAAATATAGAGAAAAATTTTAAAGCCACACCTAGCACGTAACATTCAAACTACTGAAAATCAAAGACAAAAAGAAACTCTTGAAGGTAGCCAGAGGGGGAAAAAGACATACTGGCTATAAGGAAAAAGTGTAGGAACTATAGCACACTTTTTATCAGAAACCATCACAAAATGTCCTTAAAAATTGAGGGAAAATAGCCAGGCATGGTGGCACACGTCTGTAATCCCAGCACTTGGGAGGCTGAGGCAGGAGGATCGCTGGGAGTTTGAGACCAGCCTGGGCTACATAGTGAGTTCCAGGTCAGTCTCAACTACACAGTGAGACCCTGTCTCAAAAAAGCAAACAAAAAAAAATGGGAAAATGAGCTAACCATCCTCACTGAAGGAAAGACAACCTCTTTAATAAATGCGGTTGGAAAAACTGGATTTCAACCTGCCAAAATTAAAACTAGACCCTTATCTTTCACCATGCACTAACCTAAAATCCAAGTGGATTAAAGATCTAAATTAAAAAAATATAAGTTAGGCAGATCTCTTGAAGACATTGGCATAGGAAAAGACTTTATGAACAAATCCTCAGTAGCAGGGGTATTAGCACAAAGAATCAACAACTGGGATCTCATCTTATTAAAACTCTTCTGCAATGCAAAAGAAACCATCAACAGAACTAAAAGACAACCTACAATGTGGGAAAAAATTTTTACCAGCTGCTCCTCACACAAAGGATCATTATCTAGAATACATAAAGAATTCAAAAAAATCAGCCCCCCAATATATAAAGAACTGAATCAAAAATGGGTATCTGAAATGAATAGACATTTCTCAAAGAAGTAAGAGCATCAAGTAAATATATGAAAAAATGTTCCACATCACTGGTCATTCGAGAGATGCAGATGAAAACAACACTGAGATTCCACCTCACCCCACAAAGAATGGCTGCTATCAAGAAAACACACAATAACAAATGTTGGCGGGGTTGTGGGGAGAAAGGAACCCTTCTCCATTGTTGGTGGGAGTGCAGACTGGTGCAACCACTATGGAAGTCAATATGGAGATACCTCATAGAACTAGGATTAGAGGTTCCATTTGACCCAGCCATCCCTCTGCTGGCTATCTTTTCAAAAGAATTAAAAAAATCATATCACAGTGATATATGCACACCTATATTTATAGTGGTATAGTTTGTAATAGCTATAACATGGAAACGGCCCATTTGCCCATCAGTTGGAGACTGGATAAAGATGTGGTTTTTCTAGGAGGAAGGGGTGAAGGGAGGGCAGGGACAAAGGGAAAAAATGAGAACCAAGACCTCTCACGTAAAGGTACAGGATCCCAATGATGAATGCAACTGTAATGTATACCTAAAATGTACCAATAAACTCAATGAGAAAGAAAATTGGGGGAAAATGAAACTTTTCTCATGTAAATAAAAATAGAATTCACTGGCTTCAGACCTTCCCCAAAAAATTGTTAAAGAAAAACAGACTAAAAGAAATAAAGAACACTGGAAAAATAAATGGAGGCAGTACATAATCTTTTATTTTTAGAAATGCCTGAAAAGCCAATTTCCCATATATCAGCCACAGGCCAATCTTGCAAGCAGGTCTTCTAAAAATAGCATCCTCAAGACTCCTAGATTAACTGCTTGCTGCATGACAGGGTATGAAACAAATAAAAATCCAAAACTCTACAGTCAACATTACACTTAATGGTGAGAAATGGAATGCTTCCCACAACTGACACGAGTTAAGCGCTCCCCTCTCATTACTACAATGCTGAAAAAGGAGAAAAGGCCAGGGTACTCTTTATTACCTGATTTCAAGATTTACTATAAAGCCATAATAATCAAGGTAGTGTGTTAGGGCTGAGAGTGTAACTCAGTGGTACAACACTTGCTTACAATGAACAAGGCCCTGTGTTCCATTCCCAACAATGAAGAAAAAAAAAGCGGGGGAGGAAGGGTGTCAATGGAAAAATGACAGGCTCACAGATTAATGCATCACAGAGCCCAGAGATAGATTTACAGGTGCAAAGGCACTTCGAAAGAAGGATATTCTCTTCAACAAATGGTGCTGGGACAACTGAATATCCATACAGAAGAGTGAACCTTAATACATACATTACATTCATGGCTGATGAGAATACTATGTAGTAGAGCTGCTCTGTAAGACAGCCTGGCAGTTTCTACCAAAAAAAAAAAAAGGATAAGACAAGACCCAGCAACCCTAATGCTAGGTCTTTATGCAAAACAATGCTAATATTTACCACAATTTTATTCATATTTTAATAAAACTGGGAAGAACCAAGGTTTCTTTCAATCGGTGAATGAACAAAATACACATACAATGGAGTGTTAGTTAAAACTTCAAGGTTAGTGGCAGAGCACACACTTAGCAAAAGGAAGGCTCTGGGCTCAATATCCAGTACCACAAAAAAAAAAAAAGAAAAAAAAGAAAAGAAAAAGAAAAAGAAAGACATCAGAGGTACACCATAATAAGGCATTTCTAAGGAAAAAATTGATTGAATATTTTTTGAACAGGATTAACTTTGACTAGGTTAAGTGGGAAAGGACCCTATGAAAGTTCACATCACCATTATCATATACCATCACTTTTTAAAAAATGTATTTAATTTTTGAAGAAATATATTCATATAGCTTAAAATTCAAATGGTACACATAAACATTTGTAAAATAAGTCTCCCTCCCACTCTCTACCCCCAGCCATGCAAGCCCCAAAACTTAAAAAATTATGTGTCTTGAATATCTTTCCACAAATATTTTGACCATGTAAGAAAATTATACATATATTATTGTCCTCATTCACTACTTTACATAAATAGTAGCATACAATACACATTCTGTTTCTTGTTTTTTGTCACTTCAGTAACAAAGCCTTAACAAAGTTAAGGTAATATTAATCTTCTGCTATTGTAAATGATACTTAATTAACATGCAGGTATTTGTTGAATAAATTCCTGAAAGTGTTTGCTAGGTCAAATTATAAAATTTTTCCCCCAGTACTAGAGATCCAACTCAGGGCCTTGCACTACATCCCCAGCCTGTTTATAAATTCTGATGACTCTTCCAAAGTCACTGACTTTTAAAATGTCAGGAATTTTTCATTTTTAACTTTTGTCTTAGGAGTAGACAAGAAAAGCTAAGATCCTATCACTATACAATTTTCTGGAGAAATACATACCTCTAAAATGCATAAAATTAGTCTTATACTTAGTTTCCCACCTGTGCTTTGTAGGGTCCAGTTACATTTTTATGCAATACATTTCAGGACTCAGTGCTGTTGTAAAGTCTATGTTAAGTTATGTGAAGAATGTTACCTCTGATATCTTCTTGAGCAAAGGTCAAAAGCTGATGCTCCAAATTGGTGGTTCCTGGCCACTCACTTCATAGTATAATGCTGGATTCTTCACTGCAACCACAGATAGATAAATCTTGGTCAAATAAAACATCTACAAAGACTATTATGTCCTTACTGGACTACCCAAATATGATTTTTTCTCTTAGGGAAAAAATAACACATAAAGGTTTCAAGGAGAGGTTGTAATTCTTTCTCTCTTTCTTTCTCTCTCTCTCTCTCTCTCTCTCTCTTTTTGGCATGGTGCCACTGAGCTAAGGGCTTTCTAATAAAGCTTGAACGAATACTGAGGAAACCCAGGGCCTCCTTTGGTAATATTCTACACCAGATCAGTGTGAACTGTTGAGCCACCGAAGAATACCTACATCTAAAACTACACTGACTCCCTTTGGTTTCTTCCCAAAACATTGTTCCACAAGTACAAAAGACAGTACTAATGGTACAATCATATTAATCTCTAGAATATACTACATTCTTAACAAGATTTAACAAAAAAGCTAACTTTATTATGTACTACTGCAGCAATGGCCCCCAAAGTTTTTAGCATTTCCCTGTATCCATACCCTCAAATGGTCCTCTCCTACAATGACTCTGGGCTAAATCATGGAAGCACTTGTGAGATTTAGCTGATGGAACAATAACAATTGTGACACAAGCAGACACTTGAAAAGCGCTTATGCACTGGTGCTTTTGCTCACTTGCTACTCCTTGAGACTTTAAGAACATCATGTTAACAAGTCAGCTGAAGGAGAGATCATGTGGAATGGCGACAAGCTAAGATTAAGGCTTCCTACCTAGACCAAACAGCCTGTCAACTACCAGATACCCAGATACAAGAATGAGGCCATCCTAGATCATCCAGATACCAACTATTCACCCCCTTCTCCCAAAAAACTAATTAATACAAGCTATTTAAAAGTAAATGTTTGTGACCCCGTACATATGGCAAGGGAAAGAGAACACTGATTTTCCTCCTGTGCAGTTTACTCTGTACATAAGATATAGATTCACATATAAAATCTTTCAGTACCTGGATAAAAATAAATAAGTATTGAAGATTTCTTGTCTTTCTCAATTCTCACAGATGTGCTGTCTGCTATCACAGATGGCATGCACATGCATACATGCACACACATACACACAACAAAAAGACAAATTTCTATTTAGTCATTGAAGTATTTTTATCACTATATACTTAAAACATACTCAACAATTCCATTTCGAACACTGAACAACAACCCATGTTTCCAGGAACTACTTTTTCTCCCAATTCCAAATTTTTTACTTCTTTGCAAGGATTTAGTGAAAGCTAAGAGCTCCCTTAATTTGGTCTAAAAATTATCAGATACATAAGAGTCCAATTAAACCTATTTCTAGCAGCATTCTGCAGGATAGGCTTCTTCTTGCACCACAACAACTACTTTTTAGCTATGTCCATGGTGGACAGTAAAAACTGCTTAAGACCTACACATTTAGGTCAAAAAATTGCCTGTATTTGGTCACAAGAATTTTCTTAAATAATTTTTGTTTAGGCTTCACTAGAAGCTTTTCTGGATTAAACACAAAAACATTCACACATGTGCATATGTACACACGCATGGGCATGCACACACCATGTGCTTCATGAAAGTGAAAAACACCTTCCAGCAACCTATTGTTCTTGGAATAAAACACAAACTGCTTAATGAGATCCCATAAGGCCCTGTCAATCTTCCTCTGCCTACCTCATCTCTCTTTCCCCAGATCCTAGCCAAACCTCTGTGGATCCTTTCCACACCTCTTTCCCACCTCAGTGTCCTCACAACACCTGCTAGTCCCTCTGCCTGGAAATCTCTTCTAACTTTCACCTTGCTTATTCTTGCTCATTCTCAAGGCTTCAAGGACACCTTGCTGGTATCTCTCACAAGAGGAATTCAACCTTTCTTGCTGTGTGACCTTGGGCAAGTTACCTCTGTTTCACCTTTCTAAGCTTTACACTTCAATTAGACATTTATTTGCTGAAAAAACAGAAATAACCCCCTTAATTCCCACATTAGTACCTAATACTTCTGGTCTTATTTCCCCACACACCGTTTTCTGGGGGTAGATGAAATGAATGCTTACAGAGAAACTACTACCTCAATTAATTCTCACTATAACCTGAGAAATGTGACTTGGCAGATGAAGAAATTAAAACACAGAGAAGTTAAAAAACTGGTCAAGGGCCAGGAAGGACCTGAGTGTGATCCCTAATACCAAACCAAACCAAACAAAACTAAAGAAGAAACTGGTCAAGATCAAGGCGTACAAACAGAATTTAAATCCAAATTTGCCTGATGCCACAACCTGTGAGGGATGTAAGACACAATAAGCTTCTCTAACTCATCAACCTTGTCTTCTAAGAGCTGTATGCCTCAGGAGATGGATGAACCCCTTCAGCAGAACATTCTTCCCACTGTGAGAAGTTTCCCCACTTTCCACATTCATTCATTATTTATTTGTACTGGGGATCAAACCCAAGGGCATTCTGCTGGTAAGACACACTCCTATCCTTTTTATTTTGAGACAGGGTCTAAGTTGCCCAGGCTAGCATTGAACTTTTGATCCTCCTGCCTCAGCCTACTGAGTAGCTGGGATTACAGGCACAAGCCACTACACCTGGCTTCTTTCACCTTCTATACCTTTAGCAAACAGAAGGTACTCAATACATGTTTGCTAATTGACGTAAATAACAATGTTGGAGAATATATTATGGCTGTAAAGTTGAGTAATGAATTTTCACAGCAATATTAAAATTTGGTATAGTAAGGAACAAATTCAACAAGAATGGTGAGGAAAGGGAAGGGCCTCTTTAAATACTTCTACAATTGACAATGATTTCTATATCTAGGACCAGAGAATTCCACATAATTTACAAATGTGTGCTTCATAGCTACTGGTAGACTTCACCTCTCGGGCCTTGCCCCAACATCAACGTTCTGCTATACCCAGTGGCTGTATCTGAGACACTTCTGACAGGATGGCCTTGACAAATACCAATCTCTCAGTGTTTACTCTCAAATGATTTGGAAAAAGAAACAGAAGGAACAAACGATAAAGCAAATGAAAGAAAACCACTGATAATTGGTGACCTTGGGTAAAAGGAATACAGTGAGTTTTGTACTGATCCTGCAACTTTTTTACAACTATAATTTTTTATCAAAATTAAGTTAACTCTAAAAAAGGATAATATTAATAAGTTTCTCAAGAGATTCCAGCATACAAGGTCTAGTGCCTTGACTCTATTGGTACTATATTCTCTTCTTACCTCTTCCAAAAACACACTCCAGGCTCAGGTTTTCCTTGCTCATCAATCAATATTGAGGGAAAAAAAAAAGAGCTCTTTGGATAATAGGGCATAACCATGGCTCTGTGGTTTGGGTAGAAATTAAATTACGTGCTGTTCAAAGAGCATTTATGGACTCATACACATCTTTTATTGGCCAAAGCCCCAGTACCATTTCCCTACACTAGGCCCTTATCTTCTTCAAGGCATACCAGGGTCCCCTAAGACTTGCTCAGGCCTGCCAGCCTGCCTTCATTGGGGGGGGCGGTACTGAGGATCGAACTCCGGACCTTGTGCTTGCGAAGCAGGCCAGGCAGTGGCATCACTGAGCTAAGTCCCTGGCCTAAAAGTCTTTCTCCCATGCTTTAGGCACGCAGCTCTACTACTGAGCTACATCCTTTTCCATTCCCCCACCCCCACTTTTCTTTTTTCTTCTTTCTTTTTTTTTTCTTTTTCTTTTTTTTTTTTTTTTTTGCGGTACCAGCGATTGAACTCAGGGCCTTCATTCTTAGACAGCCCTCTGCATTTTCACCTTCCTTTTCCCAAGTCTAGCTATGGGTTCAGGCAACTTTTTCCAGGACCTTTTTTCTTGGTCTAGAAGCACAAAGGCAGTTCTGATAGTTAAGAGTATTACTGCTACTGTCTATGGAAAGACAGGAAAGGGCAAAAATAACATGGGGAGTCACAAAGATTCCAGAAAACAGAAAACTCAAAGCAGTAGCTACTTGTTCTGTAATGACCACTTGCTAGCACCCTCTTATTTATTCATTAATTATGTCCAACCATTTATTCTAGATCCTTCCCACCCTACAAACCAGAACGCTTCAATTTTTCCAGTCACTGTAACTGGGACAACATAAACTTGTGAGCTACTCAAGTGTCTCCATTTCAGGAAGAGTACCAAGGCTGGATGTAGGTCAGTAGTAGTGCTTGCCTAGCATACACTGAATCCTGTGTTCAATCCCCCTATACCCTTACTAGGACAATGCCAGATAAGTATCACCAAATACCCACCACTTACACATAAAGTGAAGCAAGTAAAGGGCCTATATTAATTATCCTGATGAGAGATTTTCTTAATGTGAACTAGCACATAACTGTCTTCCTCAGCCTCTGTTCTGTGTAAGCTACATGAGGAGGTAAGTACATTATGTTCCATGACAATATTTAATCTCAATTTTAGCCTGGCTTTCTGCATCCTTGCCAGATCAAGGTTTCCAAGAGCCCACTGTAATGTCATGTCTTCACAAACAAACACCCGATGTTTGATGCTTCCTGCCCCCACAACTTCCAAAATACTTGCTTAGTTCCAGCCAGACCTCAAAGCAAAAGAGAAGAGATGGCTTTTTGTTATGGTTGTGGTGCAACACAACAGAGGGGAAAAAAGGATTATTAAAAGAGAATATACTAAACCTACAAGCCTCAACATCCTTTGTTTTTTAACTTTCACCAACTCATATATCTCAGCTATGCTGACTGCCTAGGAACCTCCTCTACCAGCCTGAAGGGTGGTCACTGGTACCCTGAGGGAGGCTCCTGGCTCCCAGTTTATCACAAACAACAAACACTTCAAGGAGTGGGAGGCCTTTCTTCACTTCTGCCCTACCTGTGACCAAGGTTCACAGCACACCACCAATCTAGCCATGTGGCCCAGAAAAAAATGTAAGACAAATTGTGGATTCTAGAATCCAAATATTGAGTATTATAGAACTGACTAGCTAGAACATGCAAGGAACTATTTCAAGAAAACTATACTAGGCTGAGCTCTTCTCTAGCAAACAAACGCACAGAGAGCAGAATTGAAAAAAAGGTGGCAATGATAGTAGCTAATGTCATTGAAAGCTTAACAAATGCTGTCAGTGAGAAGCACTTTCCAAAGATCTCAGGTAATCTTTGAAGAGAGGGTATTATCGTTTTACAGTTCCAGTACAATATTTGGAGCTCACTTTAAATGAAAGAGAAAATGAGGCTAGGGATTTAGCTCAGCGGCTCCTTGTCTGCCTGGCAAGCATAAGGTCCTGAGTTTGATTTCCAGTACTGGGGCAAAAAACCAAACCAAACCAAACCAAACCAAACGCAAAACCTACTGGGCTAGGAATGTAGCTCAGCTGCACAGCACCTGCCCAGCAAGCAGAGGCCCTGAGTTCTATTCCCGGTACAAAAAAGAATAGAAATGGTATGTTGGTAAAATACTAGGGTTAAAAAAAAAAAGGGGGAAAAATCTTTTTTCACTTGTCTAGAGATTAAACTCATGATGGCATAAAAGCATGAGAACACTAATGAAAGAACATGAAGACTGAGATCTACATTCTCACTGTCTAGAGATGTTACGAAAGTATTAAACTAAATAAAAACACAGTACTTTCAGGACCACTCTTCTCTCCTCCCCACCCACAAAACCCCAAATCCCAAGCTGACAAGAAGTAGTTGAAGGAAAGGTATTTCAAGAAACTCTGGGAAAGCAGATTCTGGTTTGCTTAAACTAAGCAACTAAGTTGTGTAATCAGTTTTTACCTAAATTTTGTTCCATTCCTTTCTCAGTTTAGAGAGCAGTAGTTATCTTTATTAGACTGAATACAGGGAATGAGGTCGCCTTTCCCTCCAGGCCATAAGAAGCACTGTCAACACAGTTTTATTTCTTATACAGTTTTGATTTCTTATACAATCAGACCTCGGAGGGGCGGGGACCAGGATCTCCTGCTCAGCTTCAAAGATAAACGCATCTCAGGGTGGGGGAGAGCCCTGGAGCACCTCTAAGGCTGTGGATTTCC